AAATGGTGTCCTTACTGATATGAAGATCCATTTCCAACTCTTAAAAAGCAACTTTCATAAACATGCGAGTACTTTCATGCGTGGACACTGTTATATAAGCAGGGATTTTGTTGAAACCAGTGAACTAAATTAAAATTCTACTTGCATAACGGTGCTGTAGCATCAAATGACCTATACTGTTATGAAGATTGGCTATTTCAAGTTAGAAACTGATCTTCATAAAAATGCGTAGAGTTTGATGCGAAGATACCATTATAATATTTCTGTCTTTTCGAATAGAGGCCAACTTTCATAAACGGGACGTTATGCCGACCGTTATAAGAGCATTTAGCGCCATAGAATCACTTGTTACAGTCAGTCCTTTTTCCTTTATAAATTAAATATAGTAATAGCGATTATTGTATTTTTTATTTTGTCGCGTAGCTGTGTAACAAGTGAATAAAAAACATGCACTCTAAATTGAAACGCATCAGTAAAATATAGTTAAAATAACATTGCGTGTGTCTTACTTAAAATTAGAAAAAGGAAAGAGCCTTTACAATTTGGCATGGACAATTTGCATACTCTATTTATTATACTGTATTTTAAAACAAATAAACGAAAAAAAGCAGACAGTAGGCAAAGTCTGTAAATGTAATATTTGCCATATTTAGGTTACACATGAACAGAAAGTTATACTTTTCGTAGCATCTACAAAATGCAATAAAATAAATAAATAAATAATAAAATGCATATCAAGTATGAGCTGAGGATGCAATGATTAACCCTTTCTTCGGCTAGAGGTCGCTACCTGGTGCTCACGTATACCATATTCGATAGTATTTACCCTATGCGACAATAACAGTCGATTCGATTTACACAATGCTATAATAATAGTCGGTAATATTTGCACAATGCGATGTTAATAGTCGATAATATTTTATAATGCACTTACTCTTAAAATCAATAAACTTAAGCTATTAAATAAAAAAAATGCTTTTGATTTAGTTAATTTAAATTTTGTCGGGCTGGTTTGTGAAGTGAAAAATTTGAATGATCAGAAAGTTCAGTGGAGACATCATTAGATAGAAGATAGTGAAAAGTTTGAATGATCATAATGTTCAGTGGAGACATCGTTAGATAGAAAGTTCAGTGGAGACATCATTAGATTCTAAGTTTGAGGTAGTTCTCCCAATGGAGGATGTCTGATTGCTTCATCGTATTATTGGTTATTTCATTTTACTCGAAACCAACAAACAATCCTTTACATAGAAGAGAAAATATGGAAAAGCGCAAATCGATATGTGTGACAAAATAAATAAATCCACTGAAAAAGGAGAAAATCTGTATTTGAAATAGCGTGGCTAACAATTGTTGAATTATTCGATATACAATTTATTGTTAACTCTAATGTTAGAGTGCATAATGTATAGAGTTAGCTATGCCTGTAAATAAAAATTCCGTTCTGGACTGTATTTCTATGAAAGAACCTCATGCAATCTAAAAATGTTTTTAATGGATCGTCCAGAGCAAAATGTTTTAGCAATAAAACGCAGGTGTGGAAGACTTGGCATTAGCAAAAGTTAGTATCTCGTGAAATATTCGAGAAAAAGAAACTTTGTTAGCTCAGCTACATTATTTTATCTTGTAGTTTATTTAAAAAATTCTTGGTGAATCGATTCTCCCCCCCCCCACACACACACACTTTAGCCTATATATAACAGTGAAAATATAATGATCCTGTGTCACTTTCATCCGAAGAGAAACGCGAATTTCTTTTTTTTCTTTCAAAGTGCGTGTGGAACAGTGGAAACAAAGTCCTTTACCACGCACGCAGCTTCCCTGTCAAGGCTTTCCCCAAAGTGGATCTGCTTCTCCAGTTTCTGAAAGAGGGTATACATATCTGTCCCTTCCCCCAGGCAGAACGTGGCTTATCCTGGAAATTCTGCAACGTCGTGTGTTTTCCTTGACTAGTTGCTTGATTTGGTGAGATGTTTTTTTCCGTCTCGGATTGCGATTTATCTGGGGAATAGGGGGATGAAAGGCGGACATAACTGTGATTCTGTTCTCTCGCTGTTTCTGACAGATTGTGACATAAGTCCTTTTCTGCGCTTTGAATCTCGACTAATTACAGTTAAGGGATTTAAAAGCAGTGCTAAAATTGAAGACAGTCAAGCAGATAATGTTCGAAAAGAAGTGTTTTTTTTTTTTTTTTGTTTTTTTTTTTTTTTTTTTTTTTTTTTTTTTTTTTTTTTTTTTTTTTGACTAGTGAAAGTTATTGAAATTTATGTGAGTTTTCTTCCGAAATTTATGTGGAAAGATGTCCGAGCGTCTGTTTAATTTTTATATAATTAATTTAAGTAATTGATGATTTTCTTCTTTGTAAGCTTAATTATTCATTGTTTTTCAATATGATTTTTGGCCATTGTCAAAAGCCACTTTTATAAAAGATGGATCTGTTATTTTTAGAATCTTCAACTAAGATGATGCAACCGTTTAGAACCATGGGAAATTTTTTCGTTCGAGCTGTATTCTATTCTATTGACTAGCAACAGCTGGTCTGTAACTTTACCTGAAAATAAAAATTTCTGCCGTTCAGGAGAGCTGCAAGAACCGAAAAGTCAGTTTCAGGACAGCCCAGAAACAAAATTATTAGCTCAAGATAAACGATATTTGCAAATTTTCTAAGCAGTAAACTCATTGTTAAGAGACGAGCTTCAAGAACGGTGATCATTATGTTGAAGTATGTAGTATAAATATGATAATGAAGAGAAAAATGGGCATTTAAAAAATTATTGTGAAATCAAGTGTAATTTTGGACTTCGTGACATACACGTGTTTTGGCTTATATACATTTGCTGTATCTTAATTTAAATTATTTTTGATTTAAAGCCGTTTCTATATTAATTTAAATAAACAAAAAAAATTTCTGTCATATTTTAGTACCGTAGAACCTTTTAAGTTAGAGTTCCGATGAAACCAGTTTTGGTCCCCCCCCTTTCAGTTTTGATTTGTCGATGTTCAACTGGAAAAGAATCGAAAGGAATTCAGGTAAAATAATAATATAAGGAGGAAAAGTTACCGTTAGCGAAACAATTGCAGTGATAAATTCAACACCGCCATTACCTGGTCATCTCCCCCCCCTCCCGTCATTTTTAATTCGTGGAGAATGGAAGGTATTTTCTCCCTTCTTACTGCGTGCCTTCCTGATATAATTGGAAGCACGTCCGCGTAGCATCGAAAGGTTCGACGTTCGAATTCCGGCGGAGAGTATACCATATTTTTCATGTCTTCTACTCCGAAATGCTTCTAAAAGTCTAATAACTCTACAAATCAACCAATCTAAAACTATTGGATAACTAAGGAGATACAGTTGGCTTTTAGCCATTTATTGAGAAAAAGAAAAAAAACTTTTCTGAATTACCTGAAGGAAAAGTTTCTAAAAATAGAGTAATGATGATTAATTATAATCATGAACTAAATTTAACGGATTTCGAAAACATAATAAAATTCATTTTTTCTTTATCAAGGAATAAGTATCATACCATTTATATTGCAGATTAGTTTGCTCTCTGTGCAACGTAGTTCGGGGCCGATCTCCGTATTTCTTCCCTCAGGCAGATATCTTTTGCTTTCTTTTCTGTAACCAGTTAAGAAACTTAAAGTACTTTCACCCTTCTCACCGCGGCTTTTTTCGTGTAATTAGAAAGAAATCGGAAGGTCCAAAATTCAAATCTCCGCGAGAGTATGGCTGGTTTCTCATATCGCTGTATTTCGGCGCCGAAATTGAAAAGGTGGTGGACGATAATTCATCACCATCACCAGTATCTGGCAATTGGATCCCCTCTCCCCAGTCGCCTTTTATTCGGGGAGAATGGAAGGTATTTTCTGCGTCCTTACCCTATGATGTTGTGATGTTACTGGAAGCAGGTCTGCCTAGAGCATCGAAAGACTCGATGTTTGAGTACCGGCGAGAGTATACCATATTTTTCACGTCTTCTCAATGCTTCTACAAGCCTAATAACTACCAAATTAACCAGCCTAAAACTATTGTAATTCTTATTTTCCGCCATGAAAATACTCGTAATTTCAACGAATGTTTTTAATATATGAGTAAAATCTAGGCCTTTTTTTTTTTCTTTTTCAGTTTTTTTAAGCAAATATATTTGTGAATTATAGTTTCTGTTATCTAACTCTCAATTAAAATTTCCTTCAAATTGGGTGGGGCGTTTTACTTATTAACCGTATAAAGACGACCGTCGAGAACATGAATAAACCTTTTTACCCTGAACTTAAAAACACATTGGCATGGTGTCAAAGCAAAAAATACTGAAACTATGTTTTTTGAGTATAGTATTTATCTAGTTTTCTTTCATTATGCGTCCTTTCCAACTCTGCTTCCTATTATCTACACGGGAGATATTAAAATGCAGCTTGATAGTATTTTTCTTCATGAAAATTAAATCCCAAGATTATTGAAAAATTTAACGGTATTTTTTAAAAAATGCAACGAATTTAAAAGACTAATGAAATTTTTCTCTCTGTTGGCTGTCTATTATGAACCTGCAATGTTTGTTTCGAAATGCTTTTCATTTTCAACTTCTTTATGTCCAGCCTTTCCTTTCCGGGTTTTTGAAACGTTTGTCTTTGATATTATGTACAGTTTATGTAGTTATTTATGTAAATTCTGTTTATTATTAGATCTATTATTTTATTAGTTCATTCTAATCATCTTCGTTCTGTAAATAACAGAGTGTAGCTTTACGTTTTGCAATGAAGACAGCAGTAGTAATTCAAATAGATATCTATCTTCTAGTGTTACCGATCTTATGAAAAATGAAATAACTGTGACAAAGGATGCACGAGAATATTTTTTATTCTTTTTGAACCCCTTTTTAATTTCTTTTACGAAGTTTTATGCTTTTGCTTTTTGATGCACTTTTGCACTGCATTTCATACATGTCCATCACTGCACTTGCCTTGCCTGATTCCTCCTTTTTCCCTCTTTTTCACTTATACAGGAACAAGATCAACGCCCAGAAGCATAACGGGAAGATGGGGTAAGTTTGTTTTATATTGTGTATATTGCATGCGCATTTATACTATACTTTCACACAGCCACTGATGCACAGCATTAATTTAGAGTTAGAATATTTATGAATGCATTTTAAGTCATTTCTGTTTAAAAAATTTGAATTAATCATTATTATATATATCGGTAGTCAAAATAGCTGAAATAGTATATTTTATCTGTTTAATCTGTCGTAGATCTTCATGGGATGGTTTTAACGAACTAAATGTAAGTAAAATAGCAAACTAAAGATAAAATATAGGCTCAAATACTAGAGGTAAAAACTAAAGTTTTTAAAGTTAGAAGTATGCTGCTGAAATAAATTTTTGGGCATATGAGTTCATCCTTAATTGAAAAAGCGTAGGTGTTGCCACCGCAAATTCCGAAGCCCAAGAGAAAATTTAAAGTATATGAAATGGAAGAAAAAAATATTATTATAGAAGTAAGCACTCATCATCTTTACGACCGAGATACTGAACAGGAGTAATACAAGCAGAAAATCATTTTTAAAGAAATGTAATGCTTGAAAAAATATTGCCCATTCCTAATTAGCCGGGTTCAGCCTAAAAAAAACCATAAAGTATATTGTTTCTCGACGAAGGAAAAATTCTATTCCAATTCTAAGAACAAAAAATTTTAATTACCTTTTATACGTGACATTATTCAAATTCTCTTGTAAATGTTGTTCTTTAATGCTGTTTGTAACTTAATTTCTTCATGTTGGATAATGTTTATTACTCCTTTATTCACAGTATGTTTTTTGCTTTCAATACTGATGTAATTTATGCAACCAAATGAACTTATTCTTCAGATTAAACCAGAAAAATAACATTTTCTGTTAATTATTATTTAAGTTGTTCCCTTTTTTGAGGAACTAATAAAGATAAAAAGAAATTTTTTTGCACTTGATGAAGAAGAATGAAGGATGATGAAGATGGAATGAGTATTTTCAAAAGGTTATACATCCTTCGCGGTCTCAAAGACTGGCGGCTTTCGAAGTAAATTTACCTGTCCCGCGAATAATAAATTAATTAGCTAATTAAAAATTAATTAATTAGCTTTATTATGGCATTAATAATTATGATAAGAATGCATTCATACTTAAAAATTTTTAAACCTCAAAAAAGAACCCGATTGTCAGATGAGCATCTACTTTTTGGGGTAAAAACAGTTTATACTAATTTTTCAAACTTTACAAACTCTTACAAACTTTATCAAAATCTATACGCCGTGAGATATTGCAGCTGAAAGTTATAGTAAGGGACAAAGAAGTTTATAATTATTTACGTATGCATATATGTATTTTTTCTTTATGCGTCAAAAAAAAAATTAGTAAATAAAGTAATGAGAATAGATCGGCATTATTTATTCTAAAGTTTTTCCCAGATAGAAAATTTTTATAATTTCTCTGTTTTTTGTTTGGCTAAAAGTAAGCTATTTATTTGTTAATTCAACCTGTTAGAATTGTATGAAATCAATGACAATCTGAAAATTTAATATTTAGCTGACAGTGCGTTTGAATTACAAAGTGTATCCAACAGAAATTTCTTGCAGATACCATCCTTTAAATTTCTGACAAAAATTAAATATAAGATGGATTTTTTTATTTTGCTTTATTATTATTTTTGTTTATGTATATTTTGATAAATATTTAGCAAAATTAAGAATTTCGGCTCTCAGCTGCCTTCAGATTTGGTCAGCGTGCAATTTGAGTTTGACACCACTGCTTCAGAAGATAAAGGAATATTAATGACCTCAAAATATTGCTCCAGTTTAGATCGCGAAAAAAGTATACTGAACGCTAGACGGATAGAATTGAATATAGTAATTTTATCCTCAGCATTTTATTATAAAAGCTGAATTTTTTTATTGTTATTTTTCTGGATATCTGTAAAACGGGTTTCTTTCTATGCCTCTCTTGTATGTAAAGAAGCAAACATTACAGGCACCTTCCGTTTATGTTTTAAAAAGGGGGTGAAACATTTTGGATTCAAACTTCTTAATAAAAAAGCCAGTCTAATGCATTTTAGCGGCTGCTGTCAATTGACTAAGCTGTTGTTGCAGGATGGATTACCGAAATTCTTCACTGCGAAACCTTAATATCGGCTTAGTTTTGTGCTGCTATAAATAGTGGATATGTTTAGTGGATTTGCTATAATAGTGGATAGCGCTGGCTATCTCCACATGTACGCGGATTTTTCAGTACATACTTTAAATAAATCTTTAAAATACTTTAAAGAACTTCAACAATTACAGCGAAATCACGTAGTCTCGGAATAGCGAACCAGTTTAGAAAATGCTAGATATATGATTAAGACAAAAATTTAACTTTAGATTGGCACAGATTTGAGTAAAATTCTCTGAATTTCAAGAGAAATTAGGCATATGTCTCTTTTCCTTGGAGATTAAATTTTTTACGATCTGAAGGAGATGGATTTGTATTCTTTGCCCTTAGTTTTATTGAAAATCTGCGTCAGTCTTCTTTGTATCAGTTTAAGTTTTTCATATGCGTATTTCTGTTACAATTAAAACGTTAGTTTCGAGGATCATATCTTTATATTGATTATAGTAAATCTTATAATTACCTTTAATTTTGAAGATTAGAACAGCACTGAGACCAAGTGTAAATTTGTGCGCATAAAAAGTTCAAAATGCCATGATTAATTCTTTTATTTTCATTCAAACATTTTTTGTTTAAAATTTAAGGCTTGAAATTAATGTAATTTATTACTGAGGACGATTATGCAAATCAGTGACAAATTCAACGAACTTAGTTTTCAGTTGGTGGTCTTTTCAATTTCCTAAGGATGGAGGAAAACTTTCATTCTTAAAGAGAATTATTTATTTAAAGTCGAAAACGTCTCATTTTTTTAACTCTGGGATTTTTCCTTGAAATAAAAAAAATGAAAATACTTATCTTGAGTTACAAAAAAGTATATATTTAATTTGCAAGAAAAGGGAGGAATTGTCCTTTTGCGTCGAAAATCCGAAAGAGCTATAATCCGAATTTCTCCTGATATCTGAAGACCTACTGTACCGTCACCCAATGGTTTTAACTCCTTGATCGCTGAGAAGCTGGGATGATCTATGGCACTCCTTTACTAAAAGTCTAAGGGATATTTCAAAGTTATCTTTTTTAGCAATTAGTGCTAAAAGTAGTGGATCAGAAACGGCTTATTTAAAGTGTAATGAAGGATAAATTACTTCCATCAGCTTAAAAACAAAACTGCTTTCCAAAAAAATAATAATTAAAAGTAGAAATGCGTTGGATAAAAGAAGCGAAAGCAGATGATGTCATATAATTTCGGACGTAATTTAATTGTATATTGTAATTGTGTTATAAGGCGTTTGCTCCCTCCTTCCGGCATGCCTTCGTGATGTAACGCTTAGCACACTCGGCGCGTATCGAGAGGTCCAGGTTCGAGTCCCGGCGAGGGTATTGCTCTCAATTCTCAGGTCCCTAGTATCAAAATAACCTAATGACAGTGGCGCCCGAACTAAAACGTGGTGGATGATGATTCTTCACCACCAGGATTTGTCGACTGGGTCCCCTAATCCCCAGTCGTCCTTAAAAAAGGGTAGTATTATATAAAGCATTTTCTCCCTCCTTTCTGCATGCCTTCGTGGTACACTCTGCGCGTATTCAAGACGTCCAGGTTCGAGTCCCATCGAGGGCATTGCTTATTTTTCACGTCTTTTGCATCAAAAATCTTAATGACTCTGCAGTGTCGCCCGAACTAAAAGATGGTGGATGATGATTCTTCACCACAACCGGGATCTGGCGATTGGGTCCCCTAATCCACTGTCGCCCTTTAAAACGGGGAGTATATAATGTTTTTTTCCTCCCTACTTTCTGCATGCCTACTTTCTGCGTGGTGTAATGGGCACACTCGACGCGTATTCGAGAGGTCCAGGCTCGAGTCCCGGCGAGGGCATTGCATATTTTTCACATCTCCTACTTCAAAATAACCTAATGTCTCTGCAGTGTAACTATAAACATTGTTAAATTATTCGTTAAATCGATGAAACTTAAAAATGAATCAAGTGTAGAGCTATTATTCCTCTGTTTTACTTTCGCTTATATTGAAATACAAGCGCAATGTTAATATTGTTCATTTTTTAAACGTGTTTAATTTATGTAACTAAATGGATTAAATTTTCTGTTAATTATCATATGGACTATTCTCTTTCTTGTATTTTTTTACTTCCCTTGGATCAACCGTGATCCCATCCTTGATATATCCCTCGTGAATCGTCGAATAAACAGAAGATACACTTAAAGAACTTATGTGTTGTATCTGAAAGTACAGCTTAAAAGGTTAACAAGTATGTTAACTATTGCAGTGTACAGAAGTTATCTGAAATCTCTGTAGCGCTTTTTTGGAGTGGTAGTGTAACACAATGCGAAAGCGTGCACCTTCATTAAGTGAATTGCCACCTAGCTGAAATCATAGTAGCCGTCTGAACAAAGCTGTATCATCAGACGGGCAGCTGCAAAACCTTACATCTCTTCTATCTTAATCAACCCCTTTGTTTCATCGTAATTTTAGATGTCGGTGTGCGTAAAAGAGACTAGTAGCCTGTTCAAATAAAGTTGGTTCCGAAGAAATCTTTTTCCCCCTTATTGTTCCCGCCCTTCCGTGTAATGAAATGATCAATAGTGAGAATGATAGCGGGCTCTAAGTGGATGCAGGTCAATTGCCCTCTTTGCGCTTGCGCATAGGTGGCCGTTCTGCCCCCCTACGGTATATAAATTCCCCCTTAAGATTTTACTGCCCACCCCCCTTGAGGGAGCGGACAGATGGTTTCGACCGAACCCCTAGTAAAAATCAATAGCGAAAAGACGACATTGGAGATTTCCATATTTGGCATGTTATCGCTGTGATTGGCGATATTTTGTTTGAGCTTTTATTTTCATTTCTGTTCGTGAAATTAGCCAATAGTTCTGTTTGTTAACTGAAATGCCATTTTGGGTTCATTTTTGTTTTT